CTGTCAATCTCAATGTAGTACGCGCAAGAGTAGGGTTCACGAAAAAGCTTTTGACTTGGTCAAAGCGTGTTGAGAAAATTATACATTTACAGGAAATATACATTTAATAGTTCTTGAATATGCTATCACAGTTTCGATACTGCTGTGCTATTCTATAAACACGTTTCGAACATCGGAAAGCTGAATCCGCAGTGAGATTTCAAATTTCGTATTCTGTATAACTAGTAAACGTCGCTTGTCGAACGCGGAGTGAATTGAACAAAGACAGGTGAGATTTATTATTTTATGAATTTCATCTAAAGATGTTATCGGTGTGATGATGACTATTTGGCCACAAACCAAGCCAACATTTCTTTCTTTGATTTAATGTTGTTTCGAGATTTGTCAAAGATTTTAACAAATGGTTGAGTTAACCACGGCTCAAAAAACTGGCCCTAAGTGAGTCAAACAATGCTCAATAGAGCTCAATAGAGCATTGTTTGACACAATTAAAAGTGTCAAGTAAAAGTGTTAAGTCAAGTATGGCAAATATGCCATACTTGACTTAACACTTTTAATTTGAAAACAGAACGCATTTCGGAGTCATAACTCTGTCATAAAGATATGTATTTCATATAGAGTATGACGGTCTGGTTATCCAAATACTATCCAAGTAGGTTACATATTGTTATATGTTGATAATATAAAAAGATTTTTGGTTATATCTAAGACCTCAAATAAGATGCTAATAACCTTACTTCTCCAAAACATGTTATCGTTATATGTCCAATATTTATGAAATAAGTCACATTTGTTCAAATGCTGTCAAATATTTCAAATTGGAATCCCGAATGTTGATATTTCCATACGCGATACGAGGAAATACGTTATTGATTGAAATTTGGCGAGCAAATAGATACGTACGCTGGGCTACTTAAGCTGAACTTACACAGTTGAAATCATCATCTGAATTTCTATAATGAACACAGACAATCCGATTTTTAAATTAAAGTATCAGAGTGATAATGATATGAGTTATGATTTCGTAATCTTATAATTTAAAATTAAAAAACTAGAATGCACGTCTTTCTACCTATTACACATATAGAAAGGACGACAACACATATGTAACTGGAATAAGATTTATCATAAGAATTATCACTACAAGTTCGTAGCGGTAAAATAATAAAAAAACTACTGGCTACCAACCAAACAATTTTTTAAAACAGTGTCTTTATAAAAAGTCATAGTCTGAGTTCTGGTACATCACTCTCTTTAAATTCCAATCAATCGTAGCCGGTATTTTGTCTTGTTTCTATGTTTTATGTGAATTTTGCCATTTTAATACTTATGAGTATTAAGTAAATACCAATATTAAGTGCAATGTTTTCAAGCCACTTTAATAACGCTAACTTTAAAAAAATTAGAGATTAAATTTGAGTTTCCTGTTGTGTGTGACCAGCTTTATAAAACTTAATCATTGACGTTTAAATTTGTACATAGTTACATATTGAAATGTCAACCTATTGAATTAGTTCGATATAAAGTGGCACACATTTGGTAAAACAAATTTACGAGCAACTCAGTCGATAATTAGAATGATTGATTATTTTGTAAATGTCTGAATTGTAAAGTTTATTTTGTTGTAATGTTAGAGTAATATGTTAAGGATGTATTGAATTTTAATAGTATTTCACTTTTTTTGTTACAAAATCAGTAGATAATTATTTGATGGCAAAAATTTCTTGTTGATTACAAAACCCAAATAAAACAAACTGTCAGTTACATTTATACAATCAAATAAGAATCCCCCCAGATCACTGATTTAACTATATGTTATTCCAAACACGACAGTCATCCTACAAAGTTTCCGAATTTGCATTTTGAGACAGGGTACTCTAAAAAACAGCCAGTGAGATTAATTGTAACTAACAAAACAAAGAGTTTCTTGAGATCGTATTATTTTACGATAATTGTGATTTGCCTCTAAACTTAGAGGTGGAAACTGATACAAGTTTTGCGACGGGAACTGGCATAGTGACTGGTACTGTCAGACAACGGTTCTATAAGTGTTTATCCAAAGGGAATAATCTAGCAATTTTCAGTTTCTTTTGATTTCACAAACGTGTATTTGACTTGTCTAGACACTGTAATGTCTTATTTACTGTCTGTGTTATTTATGAAAATTTCTTTTCTGGTGTTTTTGTATGTGGGATGAACATTTAAGCAGTTTTTTTTTAGTTTTTTGTATTGATAATTTAAGCTACGGGCTTTCTCCTTGGTCGAAATTTCCCAAAACATTATCATTAGTTAATCATAGAGTAAGTGAAAACTACCTTTTTACCTGACATCAAAAAGTTTTTAAGCTTCTTGAATCTCATCTCAAATCTATGATTGAATTTGATTGCATTTTTCTTCTATTTTGTTTTTTATTGAAATAAAAAGTCTAGATTCGAGAGATTATAATATCTTTCTTAATATTATTTTTCTTGTCTAATGGAGGTGTGATAAGCTTCTTCTTATTTTGTGGTTATAATGAAAACAGCTCATATCTCTATTGCATTAAACGAACTTACTTGGGTTTTAGATTTATTCGCATTTTATGCTTTTTTTCGCTGATAAGCCAGGGATTATTTTCACATCATGGTAATGTCATGTATATGTCACCGTGATATTGTAAAAATTGCCAGTTTATAACCTGTCTCGTTAAATTATAATCTAAACCTAAATAGATTATATTAATCTAGTAATATTATGACGATGTTTATACATGTCATGACCCATGATGAGCACTGAGTCAACAGATGGGGTCATAATCCATACAGGCTCAGTGCTGGTTGATAGTAAGTTTAGTTGAAAATGAGACCAATGGTATAAAAGCCTTCCAGAGTACGCAGAAGATCTGCGTACTTCCAGTGTCTAGATAAAAAATTTTTGAACACCCATCTTATAACCGACCCTTGTTTATATCTAAACACACTACTGTACCTATGTCGGTATCTATTTAATATTGTCATATTTACAATACTTTCAAGAACTCGATAAGCGCACTTAAAAGTCCCGAAGCTTATGAAAATTTAATGTATTTGAGTGAGTCTTCGCGTGTGGCTAAGTAAGAATGGTAAATTATTCAGTAAAATACTGCTCGAAACGCCTTTCTTAAGTGTTTCGACTTTGATCGATATTTTCATAAAGGTAAGGATTATATTTCAATGGCTACAAGAAAAAATCAATGTTAAAAAAATTGCTGTTACAATGAGGAAGTGCATTTCCGTATATAAAATATCTATATGCCACATTATTCTAAGTATTTATTAACCTTGCTGTGTACCTTGTGTGCACTGTGCAATCGAGTTCCTCGTACATATGTTGAAAATATATTAGACTAATATTTTTTCATATCGAGACGAGGCATATGTATGTATATATTGTAGAAAAAATGAGACTTTAAAATAGAAATAAAACACAATTTCCAATTTATTATCACTGCGGGTATAAAATGAACGAAATATTATAATACGTGTTCATTTAGCATTCAGAAGCAAATAATTATACCATAATGGTGTATACGTCGACATAAAATGAATTATTAATTTCCAACGAAGCGTACAAGCGTAAATAACATTATTATATTTATGTACTGTGGTTTGTTTGCGACAAAAGGAGCTCTAGAATACATGTGTACAGTCAGCCAATTTAATTTCTTAATCACTATGGGCGAAGTAGATAGATAAACCATTTATCTTTTTTTCCCAAATAGACATTGATTCAACAGAAAATTAAATGATGAAAAAGATAAACCAATTGTCCACTAGAAAAAAGCTCAGCGTCAAATATAGAGTGGAGTAGTTCGAAGGAGAAAAGGTTTATATTCTCGGCTTTAATTTTTTGTTAGTAACTATCTGGAATAGGTAGGCACGGTCAACTCAGTCCCCGTTTTCCTACGTCTATGATGATTACAGTATCTCCCTACTTATTTACTGAGGGGATCATGAATCTTGCTTGTTATGAATTTTTGATATATCAGCTTTGACGTAAGCGATCTGTTCACGGATAATGATTGGAGGATCGATTTTAGATGAGGAGTTAGGAGGAGGAGTTTTTAGATTTACATTTTGAGCTAGTTTCTTTGTAAATATTTCGTTATTCCGACAGTTATCACATATATTTGTTAATATTTTTATTGTGTTTTGCTTTATGAGCTCTATTAAATCTTGCAGTTAACTAAAGTACTCGTAGCTTTAGAATTGAATTGTCAGACTGTACATGCCACCTTAAAATCATAAACACAATAGGGTTGTTTATTCACATAGAGGCTATATTGACAGTGCCCACTGAAATAGCTAATAAGAATATTATATTAAGTACACACATACTTGCGAAGAAAAATGTTTAAGATTTTGCTTACTTATTTAATGTTGCTTATTTTATTTTAAGTCAGAGAAAAAAATGAGAAGCTTATAAAATACTAAATGTTGCCTTTCAATTTCGAACGATGGACTGCTAAGAGCCTGATCCAGATTAATTTATAATATGATAAAAAAAAATTTTTTAATCGTAATTATCTAACTTGTTTATGAAGTATGTTATTGCGTATATCCACTGAATATTTAGTAGTTTATATATGTTAACAGTTTAAATAAAAATAATAATATAGTTACCGACTGCTATATTTTAACTATGATGCACTTAAACATATGCAGACAGAAAATTAAACCTTTATTAAGAAAATACCGTCCACGATTTCCAATTTTGCCTGTTTTCTCACATCTTTGACCGCGTAAATTATAGTATATATCACCCGTGTATGATATAGCTTTTCACATGTAAGTGAAAGAAATTTCATTATTGGATCAGTTTTTTTCGAAGATTACACTCTACAAACAAAGTCAGAAACATAGGTTACTTTATGATATTGTTATACAAAACTACTTTTGAACAATAAATAAACGATAAATTTCTATTTTTATTATGGCTTCTGTAACCAAGCGGTTAATGTCAAATTTGTTGTCAACAGTGACATGTCGTTGGTACCGCCAGGCGGTGCTGACTCCCCAAGCCCCCGGCGCGCCGTCAGCCCCCTGTTGGAGATGAGAAGGCCACATTGTACTCTAGCCTGTGACTATTGTGCAGCTATATTGGAGGACAAATTCAAGCGTTAGTATTGTAATTAGAAATAATTAATTATAATAATACATTTTATTGCACTTAATATAACACAGGTTACAGGAAAATGACAGTAAGAAGAAACTGAACATAAATGGCGGCCTTATTGCTGTGCAGCAGTCCAGGCAACCAATGAAGAGAGAATAGAAAATTTAATGGATAGTGAGGGGGTGGTAGGTGCAATATAAGGAAGGATAAATAAATAAATAACGGATATAACTCTAGACAAACATATACTAAGATATATATATAGTATATAGAAGTAGTAGTAGAAGTATAGATATATGGAAGTAGTAGTTATGCAAAATTTCTGCCTCGTTTAAAAGGACGGTCATAACTTACCTATTCATTAACTTTCAAGTGTTATGTCAAAGAAATATTGTTCAAATTAGCTATAATTAAAACTGAGAAAACTACATTGTAATTATTGTAAGTCTATCACACCCAAAATGAGAATTTATAATAAAATTGCGATAGAAAAAAACCCATAGTTACTCTTTAAAACTTAGTTATTTTTTTACGTTTCTTATTGTAATAATACACTTTTTGAAAAGGTAATGTTACATGACGTCGCGCTTTTGTACGTTTTCTACAAAACTATGACGTAACAAGACTCCTCAACTTTAATGCCTGTTATCTAAGTTATTTCTTGTTAAATTGAAGTAATAAAAAATACTTATCTAATATTGTTAATTATATGACTGACGGACTAAAAATTTCTTTTTTTTTTAACCAGTTATCATCCATATTGTTAAATATATGAGACACTTAGCAGCCAAGTTAGTCTTAATTAGTTTAAAATTATCCCTACACTGCATGATTTTTTTTTTTTTTAAATAAAAAATCTTACCAATTCATGTTTATGGTCTAGAACACGGGAAGTACAGGTAAATTGAAAAAAAACTAATAGTAATACAGAAAAATGTTTTTTTTATTTTGTTCCATATGTGGCACAACATGCAATGACTTACATAAATTTGCTTATTTAGAGGTGAAATAAACGGAAGCAATTTTTTTCTTTGTTTAAACAAAGTTCGACTCTGCATTTTTCGCACACAACAAACGACTTTCCTTTGCAGCCTGGATACTTGCATCGCTGGCGCTTCTGTCCCCATATGGGGAAGTGTTCCACTCCATCAGACCTGACGTCACGAGTAGGAAGAATCGCTGAATTGGCTCTCATTCTTTTTGCCTCTATCAGATCACTAGCAGAAGACGGTCGGCCTCTTTTCTTGTTCATTGATGAACCACACATACAGAGGCTCTTTGCCACTTCAAACTTGAAGTCTTTCAACTTTATCGGCGTAGCTCTTTGTCGCATCTCCCCAACTCTTCTGTATAGCAACCAACTATTTATGGTGGCTATGTCGAGGAAATGGTAAAACAGCCTCAAATACCACTTCTTTGTCCTCATTTTTATTTTGTACTTACCCAGGAATGAGTCCAGCAAGTCAACTCCACCCATATGCTGATTGTAGTTGCGAACAATTTGAGGGCAATCGATTTCTATATATTTCTTTTGTTTTTTACAAAACCTCCTTACTTTTTGAGTAGGCTCTTTTCCAACAAAAGATGAAGACAACACCACCGGCTTATTATCGTACCACATAACTGTGACGATATCAGTGCCATTTACATTGCCTACCCATTCCTCGGAATATCCTCTTTCCTTCTTGCTACTTTTTAGATCTTTCAATGATGGTATTAGTATAGATTTGCCTAGTCGTCCTTTTGGCAAGATACATAATCAATTCAGGGCATGTGTAGTAATTATCGAAGAATAATCTGTAATATTTATCCCTGGGTATAGACCTTGCAAGCCGGATAACAATGTTGGCACTTGCGCCTAAATCAGGCTCATTATGAAGCCTCAGATCTGCGTTATTCTCCATCCCAGAGTATATTTCGAAGTCGTACGCAAATCCTCGATCATCACACAGCACCAACAGTTTATACCCCCATTTATGTGGCTTATTAGGTAGATATTGTCGCAGCATGTTGGAGGCCTTAGTAGCGCACATCTGCTCATCCACTGACAATGCTTGTCGTTTTGGTATAGCTTGACATTTTTTTTTTAGGGTTTCTAACACAGGTCTGATTTTATGGAGACGATCATGTGTTGCAGTACCTGCTGGTGACTGAGTGGTATTGTCATTGAAGTGCAGATATTGACGAATTTTTTCAAACTGGTTTACTGACATAGTATTTTTTATCAATGGCAAACCTAATTCAGTTTCCCAGTACATTCGAGTATGCGGCAGTGGGGCAATGCCCATTAGCAGACAGATACCTATGTACTTTTTCAGCTCTGTAACGCTCGTAGAAAAAGGCTTTGATGGGTTTTTTTGTACACTAAACTTATGCATTTCTTCTACGATATGACTTAGAAAATCATCATCAAAGAAGTACAAAAAATATTGCAATGGAGTTTCAAGTTCAGTAATCGGTGGCTCTAGATCGGTTTGCCCACAAAACTCATGGGTTGTTGGTTGGAAAGCTGTTTTTTTCCAGATAATATTACGCTTTTTTCTGGCGACGGGTGCAGCAGAAGTAGAAGCAGCGTCTTTTGGAACAGTAGACGCGGAAGATACAACTGTAGATTGACGTGTTTGCCAAACAGTTGATCTAGATGTACTTGGAACATCAGGAATTGATCCACTAGTATTTGATATATGCTGCTGCATATCACCGTCACAGGACCCTGATAATGGTGAAACGTAGTCATATCTATTCGATAAAACAGATTCCTCTTCGTCATCCGTATCGCTAAACGTTTCACAAAGTTTGTTGATGGTAGATCGAATTACGGTTATGTCATTGTCACTTTCAGCGCCTGAGGAGTCTTGTTCATCTTCACTGCCTAATGGTATTGTCAAATAATTTTGGATTTGAGCACTGGATAAGCTTTTCTTCGCCATTATCTAAAAAAAAACAGCATCACACCTTTAGTGAATATACCTAATATTGTACCATCACTGCATGAAGTGACTCATCGGGAACATACATAAATTGTGAAAATTTAGTATCAAATCGCGATTAAATCAGAAAAATATACTTACTTTCGTTCAGTTCACAGATATTTCTATGGGTACTTCTTGAAAAAGCAATTTTTGAGTGTCACAGGGACATATCTCCTATAAAAATAAATTATTATGATAAAAACTACTATTACATCGTTTCTTCATTTCATTAAGCATCGTGTCATATAGATTTCACGGATAAAAAACGACGTAGATCGGAGTAACTTACCCTCAACACCTCAAATCCGGTCAATTTTGCACGTTTTTACCGTGTCACACGCGCGCCGACTTTTGAGCAATCGCAAATATTTTTGAAATTACCCACGTTTTTAATCGGTTTGTTACACACATTTAAAAAAGACAAATCGGTTTACATATTGATCAAATTTCAAATTAATCGGAAGGAAACTTTTGATTTTATGGTCAGAAGTATACGTGTCACACGCTTAGCAAAATTTTCGCGGCGCGCCTTGCGCGAGATACTGCTCTGAGCTGGAGAGGCGTAGACGAACCCCGATTGGTTTTTGCGAATCGTCATTTACGCCGCAGCTAGCATGTGAGGTGGCCACGTCGCTGTTTCCCGCGCTTACGTTGCGAGAATAAGTTCTTCAATTTCTTAAATTTTGGTTCTCAGTTATTCGGCTTTGCCATGTCACATTTTTTCAATATAATTGTACTTCTTCTAGAAAATGGGTTTTAAGGTGAAATACCTAGCTCTATAATGTAGATAAACAGTAAAAAACTAGCCGGTTATATCTTTTCAATGCAGAGTAATTTCAAAATATATGTTTTTTGGTAATTTCCATGGTGTAATTTCCATGGATAAAACACCATGGAAATTACGTATCACCCATGGAAATTACCTTGTTTCTTTTTGGTTGCAAAAAAACAAACGTTATGTTCAATGTTTGTTTTCAATGAAATGCACGCCATCGCCAAATACAGACTTAAATGTTGAATGTTGGTTATTTTTTTTTAATTAAATCGTCTTAAATATCACCGGATTAAGTTAACATATTATATAATTTATTTATTTATTGTAAAAATTTATTTATTTATTCATTAAACACCAATTTGGTACCTGTAGGGCCAATGGTTTTCTCAAAAACGATAGATAGCCAAGGGGGTTATCTTGACTGAAATAACCTCCTAATATCTACTTATGACCGGTGTTCGCTATCTATCGTTTTTGAGAAAACCACTGGCCCTACAGGTACCAAATTGGTGTTTAATGAAAGCCAATTAAATTTACAATAAATTAATTATTGATATTTGACGTAAGATGCGTATTTAATAAGATAATTGACAAAATAAATAACCATTTCGAAAAAGGATTCTATTATGTCACTTCGAAACACGTTTCTTCGATAATTGATACATCGACAACTATACGAGTACGTCGAAGCATTCATTGTTCGAAGTTTCAATACATCGCATATCTTACTTCGACGCCCGACTTTTGTTTGTCCGATGTAACGTTACTTCGAAAAATTTGCCAGATGCTGAAATTTCAATGTTGGTCTCATAGTGAAAGTTGTTCAGTTTGAGTAAATACTATCGTATATCGTTTCAGTATAATGTAGGTAGATCTTAATACTACCCTAACTAATATGACAGCTTAATTTCATATATGACATGGTGTTTAGCAAAATTTTATCTGCTGTGTAATTTCCATTGCCTTTATTGTAATTTCCATGGTCCGCCAATTTTCTACATTTTTTTTTAGCAAAAGTATAAATCTCAGTCGTGGCCAATTTTAATATGTTGTTTAAATTTGCAGAAGTTTTCGAAACATTTATATAATTCACCATAATTTTGCGATTTCAAAAATGCCCTGGAAATTACACGGAGAACACATTTCCCAAGAATCACCCCTATATAAAAACAATTTATCCACTGTTGCATTCCGTAAACAACTATTATTTATTATTTTTGCAAATTGTATACGCACGGCGCGCGGCTAACGTTCAAAATTTTTAATTGAATAACTAACCGCGAGAGATAGTGCTGCCATCCGATTTCAACAAATGCACTAAATAGGTGCCAATGATTGTTGTAAATTTATTTGCGTAATCATAGATGTCGCTACTTGGTTCAAATCAGAAAAAACATCGATTTTATTGGTTGTACTATATAAGGGACTGAATGCAGTGTAGGGTTAAATTTAACAGGTAATTTCACGTTCTTTAACAATAACTAGATAAACAAGATTGTTCCTTTTTAAGCTTCCTTTTAAACGTTGAATTCAATAGGCAGCTGTTAGTCTCTCTCTGTACCATAGAGTATCTTTTTATCTCTGTACCACGATGACGCAAAGTGATTCCTCATTTGAAAAACCTTGTCATTTATTTAAATGTCAAGCTTCAATTAATCCTCCATGTTGATATAATCAATTGAACGTTACATTCCGCTTACATCAAAATAAAGATCCAAGGTCTTTTGTAATTTTAATTAAATTGAAATAGCATGATTTGAACTTCGAATACTTAATTTGATAATAGGCTGTCAGAGCTTCTCTGAGTTTAATGACTTCACGTAATTTTCCAAGAAAACAATTTGTTTTTCGCTTCGTCGACTCAAAATGTTATTAGCGCGCGAATTTCTGTAATATCAAAGGGACTTGGAAAATAAGGCATTGCTTCTGACTGGTAGTCTGTATCCCTTTTTACGTTCCGGTCAAATGAACCGATACATAATGTTTCTAAGTGTACTGTTTAGCTGTTCGGGTTAGATATGGTAACCTACTGATAAATTCAAACTGAGAAAATAAAAATACTGCTGAAATAGACAGTATGTTATAGTACACTATGTGTGTGGGCTGATTCGCGTAATATTGTGTGATTTTCTTTTATTTTCTGCTAAGGGGTGATCTGCTCTGGTCAATGAAGGCAGGCGGTTTAAAACTTAAAACTTCAAATTATATCAGTAAATATAGAGGGGCAATAAAAAAAATAAAAAAAATCTTCTAATGTAACAACAATTTTTTGTGGATATTTTTAATATATTAGGATCTATTATTATTATTATTGTTTTTTTTATCCTCTCTTATTAAATATACTGATTTTATATTGATAAGAAATAACTAATTTCAACTGTGACAGTGACTGAGGATGCTCTTTGTGACACAGTAGCATTGCATGTTATCACACTTTTTGGTAGCCGTTTTGGGGTCCGTGGGTCAGAAGAAGAGTGATAGTTGAAAATCAGCGTCGGCCCTAGCTGACTAATGCTGAACTAGTCACCCTTTTTAGTGCAGTCATGAGACACTCAACTTTCTATTGTCCTTTTTTTTACTGTTAATTATATGTAATGTGTCGTGTGTCTGTATTAAAATAAATAAATTGAATTTGAATTTGAATTTGTTATGTCGTGAAAGTGTTTGTGGTATATAAAGCTCTATATTTCTTAATTTCGATGACAAGGCCGATAAAAATTACTAAGAAGACCTCCTATCGCGACTGAAACTGTATTTCCATGGAATCAATTTCTCTATATTCATTAATTCAAATTATTTACTATTCCAAGTCTCTCTTTATTCTTTCAATACAATACATTAGATATATGTATTAGTATTAGACGACATTACATAAATTGCTCAACTATAAAATTAAGTAGCTAAAGTAATTTATTATTGAAATCTGAAACAACGAAGGTAACACAACACAACATTCACCCGAGACAAAAAGTTTAATTTTCTGCATTATTCGACCGGCAATCAGACTTATTCGCTACTCGAACACAATAATATTCATATCAAATGTTTTTTCAATCGACTTCAAAATCTAAAAGGAGGTTATTTGTTTTACGGCGATGCATTTTTTATGTATGATCACAAATATAGCCGCCAATTGCTAACCGATTTTTAAATTCTTTTTTTATTCGACAGATTTTATGGACCGTGGTGGTTCCATTTAAATTTTATCGAAATCGAATCAGTAGTTTAAGTTTTACAATGAAACAAAATACGTATATCATCTAAATATTTAGATGATATGTATTGTATTTCATGTATCTCATCTAAAATTCAAAAGATTGTGTATTTTAAATTCATTTCATTTACTATATTTAAGGAGTATGTATATTTTTTTATGAAAGTAGGTATGTTTATCGGTATATTCTCAAATTGTGAACTAATTTCTATCAAACTAACTGTTTACTCATAACGTCGCCTCCGTAAATTATAGCCTATGTCCAACGCGTATTATTTCGCTTCCCGTAGATGAAAGACTTATAAATCGGTCTCATAATTTTCGAGCCTATCCAATGCAAACAAATAATACATCTAATCTTTTTCTTTATAATATGAATATAGAATTATTGGAAAAAATTGTGTCGAGCAAATAAACAAAATCTTCTTTTCTAAGACTTCCACTATGTTGATTATATTTATTTATAAAGATCTATATAATAATAATAAATTATTTATTTAACAACACACATCACAACTCAGTATAAAACAATCAAGACAATTAACAATTAGTACATACAAGAATTTAAAGTATAATGTTGTGTGCTGTCAAAACTGACTTCAGCTCAGCGTAAGCAATATCTGTACTTATATTATAAAGAGAAAAGATCTGATTGTTTGTTTTTTGCAAAGAAAAGGCTGCTAAACTACCGAAACGGCAACAAAGGGATCAAAATGCGAGTGGAAGTGTCTATAAGGATTGAAAACGTTATCGTAGTAACAATTGTTTACTACTAAATCTGTCATGATTTAATATTTGTAGTGTTATCTACTATAAAAAAATAGCAATATCACTAAAACGCATGAGATATATTTTTTGAAAATAATAGAACCGTAAACTATAAAAAAGTGATAAATAATACTTATCTCAAAAGTGATTTATTCAAGAAAATGCTAATAATTAGTAGCATATGTTCTATTCATTCTCTTACAATAGGCAAATGTGCTCTTTTTTTCTCATAAAAAGAAATTCTTTATCCAACAGGCAGTGCAGAGACGCGCAACCGTGGTACGTCACCATTGTCAGCTTCTCCAAGACAGTCTTTAACTGGTGAACCACCTTGGACTCTACCCGATGATGACAGACCAGACTTCTCAGCTCTTAAAGAAAACATACAAAGGATTAACAAGTCAGTTAATGATGAAGGAGTTTTTATATTTTCTTAAAATCACCCTTAAGTTAAAAATAATATCCTCATTGTACCTGAATCATATTCGTAACGCAGAATTACTAAGGAGTTCGAGATATTAAAACTTTCTTACTTTTACACCATCTTTTATCGGTCACTTAACTTCCTATACCTTCCTATTAATCTAGATCCTCGAGACGATTTATATTAATAATTTTCTTAAGGAATATCATCCTTAGATGCTTTGTCATTGTCTAATTTCAAACGAGTGACAGTCGCAAAGTATAGAACACAAATCTGTTCCTGATCGTTAGCAAATGATGTGGCTGATTTTAAAAGGTATATGATAAAAGCTTCATAAAAATCTTTAGTTTCTTGTGTCACCATAATTATTGAAATGTTTCAGGTTATATTTTTTTGCCGCTCTGAATTTATTTCAAAACTGGATTGCGCTAATATTCCAAATGAACAAAAGATAAACTATTATTAGTGTAGTTAAATCACTCGGTAATTACTTTATTTAAATGTAAAAATAGAAAACGCTAACTGTTAAATCTATTTCTAGGGACTGCGAAACATCAACTCGGCTCGATATGCTGCTTACTCAAGTGGAACAATACGCTAATAATCTGGAAGCTCTAGTAGAAGAACGTACCTCTGATTACCTTGAAGAGAAAAGAAAATGCGAGGAGCTGTTATACCAACTATTACCCAAGTAAATTTACCCTAAATAAATTTATAAACAACCATCCGTAAGGATATAATAACGGTGTTGTACAAAATAAAAATAGTAACTTGAGATTATTTTGCTTTTGTTTAAAATTATATAATACAGTCTTTAAATTTATATTGAATAGGTCAGTGGCTTCACAGCTGATTATGGGGCAGCCGGTGATGGCAGAGACGTATGATCAGGTCACAATCTACTTCAGCGACATAATAGGCTTTACTCAATTATCAGCGGAGTCTACACCACTCGAAGTAGTTGATCTTCTCAACGATTTGTACACCAGTTTCGATTCTATCATCGAGAATTTCGATGTTTACAAGGTACGTAAAGATGATAAATGCTATACAGGTAACAGTTAATTTTTATATGTAACATTTGCCAATTCAATCACATCATTACAATTTCCAGTAACTATTTACTGTGTCATACCGCGAAAGAGATCTGAACACAAATGAATAAATAAGAAAGGATCAAGCGGATGAAGTGAGTCCCTTACCGACCACTCCACAATTTCTACCAGTACCATTCGTCCTGCTAATACATATTCAACAATACAACACAATACAGTCAAATGTAATACGTGCATTACACGAGTGAAAATCCCGTCTTCCTCCGTTCGTTATATTTTTTCTTTAGTCAAATAGAAGAACTGGCCTGTAATAAATAAGTACTTACCAATTATTGAGTCCTAAGCTTATCTAAGGTCCCAAACCTGATATTGTATTGTAGTAACTGAATAAAAGATGAACAATAATAAGAATGGTCTGTTCTCGCCTCAACAAGAATACAAATACTGAAATAGAGTTCTAAAGAGATCGATATTTTAAAAGGTTATTCATAATTTGAAATAAAGAAGCCAAATAAGGCGATAACATAATGGAAATATTAGTGAAGTGAAATAAATATGTACATATTTTTCATGTATGTATTTCTTTTATTTATTCGCTGTCAGTTATTGGCTTGTTACTAATAGTCAAGAACGAGGTTTCATAAATTCAGTGATAGTACATTTTGTAGATTAAACAATACAGCCAACCTAAGAATATAGTTTTTTACAGACATTGAATTGAATTCAGTATTGGATTCTTTCGAAATAATTTACTATACTTAACGACAGTCTCATTTCTGATTCAATATTGCAATAAGCCTATAAATAAAGCTTTAGTAAGTAGCTCGGTAGCGAAGAATATAAGCGCCGCGTACCGCGATTGTTGTTGTTAAGCAACTTTCGCAAGGGGTGGTCACGGGATGGGTGACCAAAAAAATATTATCACGAGTTACTTCGTGCTTCGGAAGGCACGCTAAGCCGTTGGTACCGGCTGCATTTGTAGTCGTTAATACCCTCCAATCCGCATTGGGCCAGCGTGAAGGGTCATGGCCCATGCTCCTTAACCATCCATAAGGAAGGTCTAAGCCCCTTCAGTGGGGACCTAAAGGGGCTGATGATGAAAGCTTTATAATACTTATTTGCATAGTTACTGTAAACCTATAAATATTTTCGTGATTCAAAGATTAATTCAGGCGATTATTTTATTATAATATAATATATCGCAGCAAACAGCTCTATTAGTAGGCTAGTTTATTAGAATAGTGCCATTCTGGACATCTGATTTAAAAGCCTTTAACATAACATAATATTATGAATGCAAAATTGACTTTGACTATGTGTGTATCTGTTACGTTGAAAATACTAAACCAATTTACTGAAATTTGGTACGCAAATGGAGTGAATCTAGTCTTTTAGGGTAATAAATAATCGAACCCCGTGCGAGCGCACCACGAGTAGAAAGCTAATTTTATATCTGTGGCGCTACGACGCACTATTCTGCGTCGTATACATATTTGGAATCGGTACATTATGTTTACACTGCCAAAATTCTTGCTTGATCAATATTTTAATCGCTGATATATTCTGAGAATATCATATTTGTGGATAGCAATGTTAACATAATTATCGTTTTAGGTGGAAACGATTGGTGACGCATATATGGTGGTTTCTGGTCTTCCGATGAGGAATGGTAACCGTCATGCAGCAGAGATAGCACGTATGTCATTAGCACTTCTTGGTGCTGTGCGTGTGAAAACAGTCCCTCATAGACCCGGAGAGAAGCTCCTGTTGAGAATCGGAATGCATACAGGTATAGAATAAGAATATTATATCATATCCTTATAATTTTCCTTATGAATAGATTTTAGACTTGTGAATGGACAATAAAGTACCATACGTACACCATAGATTTTGCGGGTTAATCTATATTAATGAGTTACAAACTTTTTGATATTTCATCCATTGGCATTGAACTCGTCAAATAATGCCTTATCGGGTTTTGTTAAAATATGCTTATTGGTGGTTCTTTATTTAGATGATAATTTAGTATTTGTTGTTGCTCATTAAAAGTTGCATTTCAGGTCACCAAAGCAAAAATAGCTGAAAAAATAACAGTTCTCTAATTCTTCGTAAAGATTTCCTTTAAAAAGCGTATTAACATTAACTGCCCTACTTCAAATGGATATATTATTCAATTTTCTCCTGACTTAGTATTCAAGAATGGTTTAGTAAGATAAAGAAAACTTTTGTCTATGATACAAATTCTAAATAACACTATCATTGTTAGGTCCATGTGTAGCTGGAGTTGTCGGCTTGAAAATGCCACGATATTGCCTGTTCGGTGACACAGTTAATACTGCGTCTAGAATGGAATCGCATGGGGAAGCACTAAAAATTCATGTCAGTCCAAAAACTAAGGAGGTTTTGGATCTTTACGACTGTTTCGAGTTAGAATGCAGAGGAGAGATCACTATGAAGGTAACATCATAATAATAACTTCTACTGTATGAATACTTATGTTGTTGTTATCGTTATTTTACTTATTATTGATTAGATAGTCATGTGATTTATTCAAAAATTCAATGAAGCATTCAGTGGCATTTCAAATTATCTTAATTTTGTGAGAAAAAATATTTCTTGTATTAACAAAGTTAATCTCTTTATCCAAAAGGGCAAAGGTAAGATGACTACATATTGGCTTATTGGAGAAAAAGCTAACAACAACGAGACTTACCAACAGATGAACCACTTGCAAAACATTGTTGCAAATCCTAGTATCACATTTCAAGGTCCCGATAGCCCTGCGTCTCATTCTCTCACACAAAATCAAAGTCCAGAACGATTTAATAACACCAAAGACACAAATCATACTCCATATGAAATACAAAGTGAAAGAGATCGCATCAAACATGAAATAGCAACTTTTGTTGCTAAGGATCTCATCAACAACATTGACAATGCCGTTAAAGAATTCAGGAAATCGCAAAGCGCAAATTTCGCATCGGGCAACACTACTAAGCCTATGTGCAATGGTAAGGAAAAAGGTCTTATAACACCAACTTATGACAAGGAATTGGTTATCAGCAAAGGCAAAGTACGAGATGTGGTGAACAGATTCAACAATTGTGTTGTCAATGAAGTTGCTACTAAAAATACAAAAGCGAAAGCGTTGAAACCCGAAGACTGAATGAAACAATTTGGTTTCTATTTATTTTTTTCCTCACTGGTCTAATTAGAATGTAGAAATGAGATTTGAAATCTAGATAAAGTTGTATTTAAATGTTATATTTTATGTGCCAAGCACATAAGAACCTATTTATTTTTAAGTCTAGTCAATAATTTTAATTATTATTCGTCTTAATATTATTTATGTGTTACACTATATTGATAAGCAAAATTGTAAGTGCGACACCATATATTTATCTAAAGCAATTTTAATTATAAACGATATTTGTCACATATAAAAATCTCTAGAATTATCAGAAGGTTTTATTTTATTTGTAATGTACAGATTTTAACCTTATTATTTTGCTTGTCGATATAGTTTGAAGTGGGTGACCAATTACCCTCCGAATTCTATTAGTAAGTTATCAGTGTCTAGATTTACCTGTAGGTTTAGAACGAAGACCGCTACTGCGCTCTTATTGAAAGATGTAGTGAGAAATTGTGTGAATATAAAAAAAAATATAGGGAGAACTATTGTATTATACACTCTAGTCCCTGTAGTATTTTTACTGACCTTTTATACTTCCGTACCTTTCTACTCTATAACCTGTCTAATTAGTGGACGAAAAATATTGGTATACCTTTAGCATTAACGTCATCTTTTTATAAAATCATAATAAAGTGGTTTTTTGAAATTATATCATATATATTGTTACTAAAATACTGTATCGTACGTAGATGAAGTGAAAGAAATATTTATCGGTCGAATTACAACTTTTTCTTAATTTAATTAAGAATGTGTTTATCAAGTTCCTCAATATTAATTTTTAAAGTGGAATATATTTATTTGAAAATAACAATTATAGTAATATGTTTCTGTATTCATAGTAAACATTTTCTCTTTGGCTAACCTTTGATATTACATTTGCTACATCAAAATTGTTTTAAAACTATTCTTGTTTCCAAATGTTGTTTTTTACCTATTATTTTTCTCAAGAATAAGATTATTATTATTTTTTAAATAAGATTATGATGTTTTTTACAATTGAAATTATATTCGTGTTAAAATAGTTGAAATATTCGATAATATTTTGTGAGAGTTGAATGTAATGTAAGAGTCAGTTAATGGTTTCTCTACAATTATTAAATTTAAAACTTCAACAGGAACAAGTTGCAAATTATAGGTTTACACAAACATAAATTTACATTATTATATATTTATTTAACATAAGATGGGTAGTGATATTCATTACAGTTTTTGTGAAATAATAAATATACTATAGTTCTATGGAATATGTAGAAGTAGAAAAATATGAAACGAGATGAAATTGAATATTAATACTATAAAAAAAGTTAGTTATATTAAAATAATGATCTCTTTACTTGTGATATTCGTTATATGATGAACTACATATTGTTTTAACAGATTTATGAGAGTTTATTAGTTTTATTTATAAATTGCGTTATAGTTTGATCATCGTAATGAATAAACATAATGCGTAACAAAACATGTGGTTTTCTTATCGAATATTCACGAATTAAACCTGGATGTTTCTTTATGAGTAGCTCGGTGGCGTAGTGGATAAGCGCCGCGGCCCGCGATCGTAGTCGTTAAGCAACTTTCGCAAGGGTTGGTGTGAGGGTTCTTGATAATGATACACCAGCTCGATGCTTTCAGATATTTATTCTTTATGCAATAAGTTTATAACCAAACCGCCATGATACCCTGCAGTCCCAGAGTACACACTGCCTCTGTCACAGACTATATATATCAGAGCGCACACAGCTACCTCTTACAGTCGGTCACGGGATGGGTGACCTAAAAATTACTAACTCGAGCTACTCCGTGCTTCGGAAGGCACGTTAAGCCGTTGGTCCCGGCTGCATTTGCAGTCGTTAATACCCTTCATTCCGCATTGGGCCAGCGTGGATGGTCATGGCCCATCCTCCTTAACCATCCATAAGGAAGGCCTGAGCTCCTGCAAGTGGGGACGTAAAAGGGCTGGTGATTTCTTTATGAACATAGTATCAATCAATATATCCTTCATTACTTGGTGATAATGGAGTACTATTACAGACAGCTTACTGTATACCAGCGGTGTACAGTAAGCCTAATCAGACGAGCATTGTAGTGGCGAAATAATTTTGAAATTAGCTTTGTAGCGACCTCTATGTCATCGCACTTACATCGCCATTATGATCACGTCAAACTTGCATGTTTTCAATCAATATAATTTTCCACAACGGAGACAATTTTCCTTTAGTCTCTTTTGCCAGTTATCTGGAAGCCAGTTGTTAATAGTTTTTGAGGTAATTAATTAATAACAAAGTTATTATTTAGTGTAAATATGTATTCTTTTAAAATAACATTCTTTAAAGAAATGTATGATTCATTAAGCCAAATATAAACAACGAATTAATTTGAAATCAAATAGAACATCTAAAAGGTTTCCGGAATAATATAACTTAATTAATTAAATGCTACAGGAAATTTCAATAATCCTTGTCTCCGCTCCCGGCTACGGCTACGTAAGGTACAGATAACATAATAATTAGATTCGTTTAGCTAGATACCGTTAGCAGATTTGATCTCTTCCTTGTTTCAATGTGAAATCTGGGCCCGTAATTAAACTGACTGTCATTATTATTTGCCTGACCCAGATTCTAACGACAATTTCTCTACTTTAATTTTAAAGTTTTCATGTTTCGAAACGTTGTTCCAAATTAACTTTTATGTTGTTACTCACATTTACCTATTTCCCATTTATATCATAAAAAACATAAGCGCTTGCGATACGGTCTACGATGCGGAAGTTAAGCATATTTCGCAAGGGCCTGTCAAAAATGAGTGACCGAACATTTATTATCTTGTACTCCGAGCTTCAGCACTTAAAATCATCGGTCTAATCTGTAATCGTTAATACTCGCCAATCCGTACTGGGCTCGCACCGTCATGGTTCATTACCTTATTCGATTCCATCAATGTGTAAAGGCTGTGCCACATTAATAGAATACCATAAAAGTAACTAGCTCATATAAACCTTCTTCTTGAATCACTCTGTTTAGGATGAAAACTGCTTTAAGATTCATTGTGTAATTTAAAAGATTTCGAGGTACATACAACGAGAAGTGATTTTGTTTTATACCATGTATATTATTGTATATACATAATATATGTCACGAGTTACATCGGCTAGATTATTATCAAAATATTATCCAGAAATAATGACATAAAATTTTATTTAGGCAATGAATAAATTATAGTTTTTTTTGTATCTAATACTGATTTTGAGAACACACAATCATGTCTGTCTTATTTACTAGCGTGTTATTTTGACTCATTTTATTTATGCTTCTATACATAGTCTAATTCTGGAGATCTGTATCGTGAGGATTCAACCACATATCTGAGGGGAACAATGGATTATCATCAGAGTATACTTCAAAACAATAGTAAACGTTGCCAGTCTATTGTCGACTACAGTTTCCGAAGTTACACTGTTCGTGACAGGCTTTTATTATCACCATGGAAAAGTTAGGGACTAACGCATTCGTGTTTTGTGTTTGCTTCCAGTCTAGCGTGTTCATAACAGTTTGGAGTAATAGTTTTTTGTGGAATCTTCTCCAATCTTACAAATATTATTAAAGCGAAAGTTTGTGAGCATGTTTGATACTCTTTCGTGTAAAAACTACTAAACAGATTATCATTAAATTTAATACACGGATAATTCTCAGTAATTTTCGGTTTTCCAGAGACCACGCAGGTTAACCCGATGGATATCTAGTTACCTCTAAGTTTCTGAAGTGAAACTGAATTAATATTCACTTATATAAAAATATAAGTACATATAGATTGCTATTGTTTAACAATAACTATATTATTTATAATAGAATTGTGACGTAGTGGATAAGCGCCGCGATCTGCGTTCATTGTTGTTAATCATATTTCGCAAGGGTTGGTTACGGGCTGGGTGACCGAAAATTATTATCTCGAGCTACACCGCGCTTCGGAAGGCTCGTTAAGCCGTTGGACCCGGCTGCATTTGTAGTCGCTAATACCTTCCAATTTGCATTAGGCCAGTCAGCGTGGAGGCTTATAGCCTGTCCTCCTTAATACTCGTATACATAAGGAAGGCTTAAGTGGGGACGTAAAAGGGCTGATGACGATATTTTCACTCCGGATTTCTTGCAGAGTAGGTAAAGAAAACCAAGTGCCAAAAGGCATGGCCCCTACATGCTTCTTTGGCCACAATGTTAACTACTCCATTCATCAAAAAAAATATTAAAACCTAATAAGCCATTTTCAAATAATAGGAATACTATTTTTTTACCTCTGGAGTACTAAAACATCGACTAAAATAAAGTTCAACTATAGTGCAGTATCGACTTATTAATAAGGACCGAAGTATGTAATAAAACCTATTTCAATTAGGTTTTTAACAATCCCGTTAAAAACAGTTAACTTTACGGCGACAACATCTTATCTATTTTTATTAAGTTTGAAAAGAAAATGTCAACGTTTTAAATGTGTCATTAGCTACTTTAATGCTTTCATAAGTTTACACTCTATATAAAATAATAAAGTATTGTTTTGAACTCAAGTTCTTATGAAAATTTAAAAATTTATATATGTTATCTATTTCTTTCATATTGCCTCTGACCAATTACTTTTCACAGAGTTTTTTTACTTTTGTAAAGAAAAACGCTTTGAGAATCATGTGCCAATGGCAGAATTTGAGCGAAGTACTGTGGCTAAGTACTCTTATATAATACTTACGAAAAAGGTTGAGTAAGTCATTTCAAACACAAAGAAATTACTTATAATTTATATGATTGTTCCCATTCTCCTTAAGTTTTCTTTTGAGTCGATTATAATCTACACGGTTAAAAATGTTATAGTAAAATTAACGTATTATAATAATTTGTTTTGTATTTTACAACTTTTTTGACAAAAGAAAATATGTTTCTACTGACATCAACGAGGTTATGTAGGACTGTCTTTATTGGATCTACCGATATTAT